GAAGGAAGGAAGCTAGCAAGCAAGCAAGGAAGGCCCCCTTTGGCGTAATGCCGAAGGAAGGAGAAAGGCGAGCGCTTTTGGAGGCTGTCTGTCCCTGGTGCTGATCCTGGCCTGGCCCTGGCCTCTCTGGCTCTGTCCATGGTGCTGAAGACACTGTCCAGGGTTCTGAGCGGGCAATAAATGTACAGTAACTCAGCTAAACTACAGCAATATATTTGGAGGAAGGAACGCCAACCATCGAAGCCACACTAGCAGAAAATATCAGAGATAGGGAAAGATTATTGAAGAAGGTCAAGGCAGAAAGCACAAAGGCAGCGGATTATTGTTGTTATTACTTGTTCTTGGGGTTTTCTTGGCAAAATCTCCACAGGGGTTTTGCCATGGCTTTTCTGGGGCTGAGAGAGTGTGCATGCATGTTTTTTTTTAATTTAAAGTTTATTTTTATTTTTATTTTTATTTATTTATTTATTTATTTATGGTGCTTCGGCCCCCCAACTGTCTGAGGGACAGCAACCCGGCCCCCGGCTCAAAAAGGTTGCCTACCCCTGGTTTTGACTGTCTTTGAAGACTGGGTTTCTGGTCAAGAACTATTGCATCACTGGGGATGTGATAATGGAATGTTTTAATGATTTAAAAAACTGGTAGATCTGTGAGTAGCACATCACATATATTGACATTAATGGGCTAGTCCTGTTTTCAGGAAACAAAAAGAGATGAGAACCACTATCCTAGATGAATGGGATGGTAGCAGTCACTTTTTGGTACAATTGTTGATACATATAGCAACAGTATTGTTAATACCAGAGCCAGCATGGCATAGTCGTTTGAGCATTAGGCTACAACTCTGGAGACCAGGGTTCGATTCCCAGAATGGCCATGGAACCACTGGATGACCTTGGGCAAGTCACACTCTCTCAGCCTCAGGAGAAGGCACTGGCAACCTCCTCTGAACAAATCTTGACAAGAAAACCCCACAATAGATTTGCCTTAGGGTCAGTGTAAGTCGGAAGGACTTGAACACTCACAACAAACAACATTGTTAATAAACAAGGTGTTCTCTGTGGCTGCTCTCACACTTTCCAACTCCCTGTTGTTTGATGTGTTTTAAATTGTGACTTAAACTCATTTGTTACTCCCAAATTGAGTAGACCCATTGAAACCTGGCAAGTTGACACTTGTTTGAGTTCATTCAATTCAGTGAGCCTACATTATTTGAGACTAACATTGGATAATTAGGTCTCTGTTTTACATTTTTATTCTTCTGCTTCTTTGGTGTTTCATTTGTTTTGTTTAATTCCATCATAAATTGCGCTGAGTCACATTTTTGGGAGATAGTCAAGATTTATATTGGAGAAATAAGTAAGCCCACTCTCATTGTTAGGATGGTAGTGAAAAGGACGGGCCCTAAAAAGAAGTTTTCAGGCTGAAAGAAGGATTCCTATGCACTGTATAGGTTGAGTTTCCCTTAGCCAGAATTTCAAAATCCAAAATACTCCAAAATCCAAAATTGTCCACATAGGAGGCTTTCTGGTGGTTCAACATACACAAACTTTGTTTCATGCAGAAAATTATTTAAAATATTGTGTATAAATTTACCTTCACACTATGTGTATAAGGTGTATACAAAACACAGATGAATTTCATCTTGGGTCTTGGGTCCCATCTCCAAGATATCTCATTATGTATATGCAAGTATTCCAAAATCCGAGAAAGCCCAAAATCCAAAACACTTCTGGACTAAGCATTTCAGATAAGGGATACCTAACCTGTATGCAGTCAATGGTCTACACAGGTTTCCCCGTTCTTGTAATAAGGACTGACCAGTGAAGAAAAGGTCCATTGAAAGATGGAGGAGAGAGAGCTTCATGGATTTCACTTGCAAATGAATTCTCAAGTTTTGGCACCACCATAAAGAAGGTCTCACTTCCATTCAACTGATCTCAGGAGTGGACAGGCCAGAGAACAAGACCTCCAACAACAAAAGCAATAGTGTGTGTGTGTGTGTGTGTTTTAAGCTAGATGAATTAGGGCCAAGGTTACCTATGGGATTGTCTCCTTCCATATAATCTGCCCTACATACTCAGGTCCTCTGGGGAAAACATTTACTCAAACTAGACAGGACTAGACTGGCAACTGTCACCCAGAGAATATTTTCATCAGGTGCCTCTGACCAATGATGGCGAATCTTTTAGAGACCAAGTGCCCAAGCTGCAACCCAAAGTGCCATGTCCCTCTGGCTTTCTAATAACAAAGTCTGGTGAACTCTGTGTTGGGGCAACAGCATACATGCCCACAGAGAGGGCTCTGAGTGTCCTCTGTGGCATGTGTGCCATAGGTTCACCACCTCTGTCCATTAGACTAGTTAAACTGGTGTCAAGCATTAATTCTGCAGTGCAGACACAACTCTAGTCATGATTGTGACACTATTGCCATGAGGGTAACTCATACCCCACCTACTTTACTGGGCATCAGCTGCACAAGGAGAAGGAGGTCTATTCTGGATGGGTGAAGTGTGGGTGAATAATGTTCCCACCAGGTTTGGAAGAGGGATCAGGTTAGGAGAGGTTACTCAGTTAAGTATACTTAACTTATTAGTAGCTGATACAAGATCCTGGTCATTATTATTATTATGACACACTTTCAAAGAGTAAGTTTCATTGATCTCAGTGGTGTTTGTGAGCACACATGTATGGATCACACTGTAAATAGTTTTAGGGAACCCATTGCCTCTCAGCCCTCAACTTCCATCCCATGTGCTGAATGAGGAAACTTATTCTCCTCTACTACCTTACAGGGATGTTGTTTGTGTAAAGAAACACTGTGGACCATTTATCCTTTTTGTAAATTTGTTTCCTCTTTGGGGAGCAATGCTAAGAAGCCTTCCTGCTTCTTGCTGGCCTCCCAGGGGACTCTGGCCTTATGAACCTTCAGTGCTCAAGACTGTGCCCTCTTTTGCCCTCACTCTCCTTGGCTAGATTGGCCCATCTCTTCCAAGTCATTTAATAAAACAAATGCCTGGTCAAAAGCAAATGCACCTTTGGCAAGAGTGAGGGCAGGGAGCTTAATTCCCTCATTGGCCTTACTGTTACAGCGAGCAGCAAGGATGGCAATTAATGACAATTGTAATGATGGCTTTCTGGATGTGACATGAAACCTTGTCCATGGAAAGCCTTGGCGAGCTCCAGGACTCGTTTTGCCATAGCCAGCAGGTCGCTCACGACTTCTGACCCAGGCACAGTGTGAACTGGCGACCTAGAGGTGAAACACTCCATCTCTCATTAGCAGTCTTCTGACACTCACTTTCCCTAATGAATACTGCACTCCCATCAAGGAAGAGATCAGATCCTGGGGGCATAGATAGATAGATAGATAGATAGATAGATAGATAGATAGATACTTTGCAAAAGTAATTTATTTTTTGTTAAAAAGTGTGATGAAAGAATGGATAGAGCAAACGATTTCATATTTCTCAACTCACTGGAAAAGTCACTTTTTAGGACTGCGGCTCCCAGAATTCTCCAGCCAGCGTTTGGAGCATCAGCCTGAAAATAAAATTCCCAAGTGCCAGTGGTGTCATTAGAGGGGTGCGAGGGGTTCACCTCTCTTCATCGCTACAGAAAATGCAAACAATACTGTGCTAGATACTGGTATGGATCATTTTGTAATACCCCTTCCTCTCTTCAACAGCCTTTTCTAGATCTAGCATTGCTGGGTGAGTGGGAGAGGGAAAAGACTCCATTCCTGCCCAACCAGCAGAGCCACCAGATCTGGAAGGCAGCCCAGTCCCACCAGTGGCCGCTAATGGGAATGGGCAGCTCCTGCCACCCCAAAGACTTTTTCCAGGTCTGGTGGAGCTGCTAGGTGAGCGGGAGAGGAAGGACACTTGCTTTGTCAGCCGCTCAACAGACCTAGAGACCTGGAAGGCAGTCCAATCCCACCAATGGTATCAAGTGGGAGTGGGCTGCTCTTGCCCCCCCCCAGCCTTTTTTGGGTCTCACACAGCTTCTGGCTGAATGGGAGGGGAAGAAGACTTTCTTTACTGCCTGGTCAGCAGAGCTGCAAGAATTAGAAGGCCACCCAGTCCACCAGCAAAGTCAGTGATGTCCCTCTCCAAGGTTTTACCCAGTGCAGTCTGCACCTCCTGCATCCCCCTAGTATTCTTATGTTCCTGACTTTTAATGCCTTCTTCCTATATGCAACTAATTGGCAGTTCCAGAGTGAGTCAAGCTGGCACAGGGATTCCTGGAATTGTGATCCAAGAAAGCAACTTTTACCAACTTTACACCCTGGGGAGCAAGCATACAGACATTAGCTTACCTCCCACGCACATCATACCCTCCAACTATCTTAAATTACCACTGATTTCCATTAAATCTGCTTTTGTCAAACCCAGACAGGACTATAGGACTGGACTTTATGTGGGGAAAGAGCATTCAAAAATGATCAGAAACAAAGGCTGGGATTCTGCGTCAATATTGTAATTACAATTACAGAGCTCCATCGTCATAGTTATGACTGTCACAACCTGGCAGTACACCAAAAAAAGCGTTTCCAAAGCACTGGAGACTGAAGAGTGTGGAAATGATATCCATAACATGCTCTCAGTCATGAGGTGCCAGCATCCCAATCTCCAGCACCTCAGAAATATTTTGCTCAGGTCACTGCTAGGCTGCAAAGATAGGTTTTGGGGTTCGTGTTCAGTTGTAAATGTGAATCCCCAGCATTTACAACAATGCAAGTACATCTGAAGAAATTGTAACTGCTGAACAAGATGCCAGCTTTATTCCAGCTTCCTTTAATTTGGTGCCTTCAAGTGGACTACTGGCCTAAGCAGACTGCCAGAAATAGTGCACATTAAATTGGGGCACTGCCCTGGCTCAGTGCTAGGGAGTCATGGGAATTGTATTTTTTTCTGAGACATTGAGCCTTCTCTGTCAGAGAGCTCTGGTACCATGATAAATTACAGTTCCCATGATTCCCTAGCACTGAGCCAGGGCAGTGCCTCAATTTAATGTGCACTATTTCTGGCAGTCTGCTTAGGATTTGGTAGACTATTCCAACTAGCATGGCACAGGACTCTTGCACAAAGATGCACCATAGGCTCCATGTGGACCTGCCAGGGTGATCTACATTGTCGTCTCCAGGTCCATCTAAGGCCTATCCTACACACCTGAAACTATGTTGGAAGAATGTGCACCTTAAAAACAACCCCTTGGACTACTAGAAACCTCCAAGGACGAGATTGGACATTTAAAGCTTATTTTCCCCACCCTACTCTTTCCCCCACTGTTTTGGACTTCAGGTGGCTTTGTGGACACTTTCAGGTTTTATAAATGGGTAGACAGACAACTTAAAGGCATATAAACACACAGAGAGATGGAGACAGCAAGGTCTGGTGGAGGAACCAATGGACCCCAGGCTTTTAGAAGAAGCTCTGCTCTGCTGTAGTATATAAATATCAAGTAATGGAGAAGCTAGATCTGGCAGCCTTTTCTATGCAATGGTCCCAAGTGGTGAGCCATGCAACTACATGTTAAAGCACCTTCCTGGCCAGTTCGCTCTAATCCGTAGCTAAGGGAGTCTGGGAGTTGTCATCCAAAAACATAATTTTCTTAATTGCTTCTGAAGCATAGGTTGAATATCCCATCTCCAGAATCCCGAAATCCAAAACACTCCAAAATCCAAAATCGTCCTCATGGGTGGTTGAGAGAGTGACACCTTTGCTTCCTGATGCATCAGTGTGCACAAACTTTGTTTCATGCACAAAACTGTTTAAAATATTATTTATAAAATTACCTTCAGACTATGGGTATAAGGTGTATGTGAAATATAAATGCATTTTATATTTTGACTTAGATCCCATCTCTAAGATATCT